GGATGTTGACACTAAAATCTTTGAAATCCCCTTCCACACTTTTCATGATTAGCGTGTCTTTTGTTTATGAGAAACTAACTCCTGATGGACATAAGATATTGTCCCTAATAACGGATCTAGATTAGTATCAGGGCGGAGCTATAACATTAGCTATAGGTGCGTATAAATTCAATAATTTTTGCTTAGATTATATATTTATATATATTAAAGAATTTATTTGAATAAGTACTATTTATTTAATAGCAAAACCACCAACTCTCTTGTTTGAAAATTCAAAACTCATAAACTATAAAATCTTGCTCCTCCTTTAAATAGTATATATGCAAAACTAAAATAAGTGTAAGATTTTCTTTGGAATGCACAAAAAGCGTGAATACATGGTCTAATTTTTATTACACACACGTATATATTCACATGGTATATTATATTACACACTCACACAGAGTCTGATCCGCGTCTGTTATTCGCGTATCAGTGCTTAACAATTGTTACGTGACTCACATTTTTTCCCCCTTTAAAAAAAAAAAAAAAAAGTAAAACCACTGAGCGCTTCTTTTCTCATTCTTTAAAGTTTTTAGCCAATTCTTGAAATTGAACTACAATTTTGTAATTAACATTTGTATTAGAGCATGATAAATATATAACTCTAAAGGAGTAATTATTTGTTCATTATTAACCCATACTTCTTATATTCATCAAGCTCCTTACATGGACTTACTATCTGTTGATGGTGAAAATTCTTTTCGCTCAATATTTATAATTTATAAATTGGAAAAGGGTTCAAAATGCCCCTAAACTATTGGAAAAGGTTTAAAAATACCCTTCATCCACCTATTAGGCTAAAAATACCCCTCCATCCATCTTTTTGGTTCACTTATGCCCTTTGACCGTTAGGTCAATGCTAAATTAAAAATTATTATTATCCTTTTTGTAAAACTTAAAAAAAAAATTACAGAATATTTTCGTTTTTTAAAACTAATGCACCAGTAGTTCACTAATTTAGTAAAGTCTTTTTTTTTTTCAGTTTTAACAAAAAACAATTCAGTTTTTACAAAAAAAAAAAAAAAATCATTTTTTTCAATTTTTGTAAAGCATTTTTTTTGTAAAAACTGAATTTTTTTTTTGTAAAAACAAAAAAATTAATAAAATATTTTTGTTTTTGAAAAATATTTTTTTTTACATTTTTACTGTTTTTAAAAAAAACATAAAAATATTTTTTCTTTAAAAAAACTGAAAAACGAAAATAAAACGAAATGCTTTAAAAAAAACTAAAAAAAATGAAACAAAAAAATTTAAAAACGAAAATATTTTGTTGAAAATATTTTTCAGTTTTTATAAAACTTAAAATATTTTATTAGAAACATTTTTTTCCTGTTTTTACAATTTTTTCCAGTTTTTACAAAAAAAATGCTTTAAAAACTGAAAAAATGAATAAAAATAATATTTTTTTGTAAAAACTGAAAAAAAAAAATAAGAAGACTTTACTAAATTAGTGGACTATTGGTGCATTAGTTTAAAAAAACGAAAATATTGTGCAAAATATTTTTTTTTGTAAGTTTTACAAAAAGAATAATAATAATTTTTAATTTAGCATTGACCTAACGGTCAAAGGGCATAAGTGAACCAAAAAAGTGGATGGAGGGGTATTTTTAGCCCAATAGGTGGATGAAGGGTATTTTTAAACGTTTTCCAAAAATTTAGGGGCATTTTGAACCCTTTTCCGTTTATAAATAAATAAATAATCAGAAAAGCAAAACAGTCTAAAATAAGCCTAGGGCGGTTAGGTTTTTATTTTTTATTTTTATACAATCAGTAATCTACTTGGATTGTATTATTTTTTTTAACAAAACTTAGTCCAACTTGGTCTTGGAAAAGGAAAGAAGGACGTTATTGCAGTTAACCACAATAATCCTTCTCCCACTTTACTTAGGCCACAAGATTAAGCGTATTAATAAAAGCTAAATTAATCCCACAGACCGTTGGACTCACCCAACAATATTCCCAAACTCTATATATAGCCACAGTACCACAACTGCTTTATAATTTCTACCAAACACTTATAACAAAGTAACTAAGTTTCAAAAGCCATGGCGTTGAAGAGAAGCAGAGAAGAAGAATCAGTGGAGAAATTAGCAATGGCGAATTGTGTAGATATAATGAAGAGAAATCAATCAAACGGACGTAGTAAAATCTTTGAGTGCAAAACATGCAAAAAACAATTTGATTCGTTTCAAGCATTGGGTGGACACAGAGCAAGTCATAAAAATACAGCTATTAAACTCATGTTGATGAGTACTTTTCCTAACGAGTTACCTGTTAAACCTAAGAAACATGAATGTTCGTTTTGTGGTGAAGAGTTTGCTTTAGGCCAAGCTTTAGGTGGACATATGAGAAAACATCGCGACGAGTTGAATCAACAGCAGCAATACCAGTATAAGAAGAAGAAGATACAAGAGAAGAGTGATATATCTGATCAAGAAGATGGTAAAGAGAAGAAGGATTTGGGTAGTGAAGGGATTTTTTTCTTGGATTTGAATTTGACGCCATATGAGAATGAGTTGATGGCGGGGATAGTTCCTGTTCATTCTTGGTTGTAATTAATTAACTTCTTAGTTAGAGTACAGTTAGAGATTTCTGATATTGTTGTTGTGGCTTGGTGTATATAAAAGAGCTACACAAATTTTAATTTGTTCGTAATTAATATGATCGTTTTTTGTGCAAAAATTTCTTTCTTATATGCAAGTTTTTTTTTGTGCGTTTAAATTGAAAGAGTTTAAGTTGTATGTATTGACAATATAAATAATTTTTTACACAATCAGATTAGTTGTAAGGCAAGTAAATGCGTAATAAGCCGGTGTAGAATGAATATTTATTTGAATATATGTCACGAGCCGTGGAAGCCGTCAGTATCTTGCATTATGATAGACATGGGCGAAGCCACGTTTAGCAAAGGGTGGTCAACTGACCACTCTTCGTCAAAAAATTACGAAAACTTACACTGTGTATATAAGTAAAATATTGATTTTAGATATATAAAACCTATATTGAACATCCTTTGTCGGAATTTTTTTTCAACTTCTTTCAAGTTTGAACACCCTTCAAAACATTTCTGGCTTCGTCACTGATGATAGGCTGTCTACATCACAGCTCTCGGGTGTGGTGCTTCCCGATCCTACGTGAATACGGACCATCTTGTATATCGGACTGCCCTTTTTAGAGAAGATCGTATTGAATAAAT